ATACGAAACCTGATGATAAACAAACTTCTTAAATTTTCTGCCACTTTTTTTCACATTTTCTCTTCTTAACCTCGAAACCCTTAAATTAAAACAATAATCATACACTTCAAATCACATCAATTTTCGTTTTTTGTTTTACATTCGACGCAACCTCGTGGAACCCAATTTCTTAACAATCTCCTTAAGCTGAAACTTTGGAATCTTCCCTGTAGAAGTTTTAGGCAACTCGTCAAGAAACAAGACCGTTTTAGGAACCATGTAATGTGGCATCTTCTCTCTACAATACTCTATAATCTCCTTCTCCGTTATTTTCCGGTTCAACCCGGTTTTCAAACTCACAAACGCACACGGCTTTTCTCCCCAATACTCATCATATCTAGCCACCACCGCCGCTTCATTCACCACCGGATTCGTATACAAAACCGCCTCAACCTCCACACTACTCACATTCTCTCCTCCACTAATTATCACATCTTTCGATCTATCCTTAATCTCTACATACCCATCTCCGTAAACCACTCCTATATCTCCGGTTAATAACCAACCGTTCTTCAAAGCTTTCTCTGTTCCGGTCGGATCTTTTAGATAACCGAACTCCCTCTCATTACAATCTCACCCACGGTTAGTCCGTCTCGGCTAACGCTCCGACCCGAACCGGGATCCACCACGTCGATTTCGCTAAACCCGACGGTTCTCACTCCTTGACATATAAAAATTAACCGGAGTTTTAAGAGGTTCGTGACGGTTCGCCGTTAACATGTTGAGAACTACCGGTGCGCCGCACATGTGAGTAACGCCGTGATCACGGATTAAACGGTAGATTAACGGCGTTTGGAGTTTACGTAAACAGACGTTAGTTCCTCCGACGGCGGCGAGACTCCACGGTAGACACCAACCGTTCGCGTGGAATATCGGTAGTGTCCATAAGTAAACCGGATTTTTCGGTACGGTCCAATCGATTAAAGAATCAATCGACATTACGAAAATACCCCTATGACAGTGAACCACTCCTTTAGGAGACGACGTCGTACCGGATGTGTAGTTAACCACAATCGGGTCCCATTCGGTTTCGGGTCGGATCCAATTAAAATCCGGATCTCCTCTCTCAACTAAATCACCGTACGTATAACAGAATTTCGAACGATCCGCCACGTCATCACCACCTTCCTCTTCGTCGTCAGCGATTAGGACGAGAATCGGCTGTTTATCCAATTTTCCGATCGCTTCGACGGCGAGATCGGAAAAGAAGACGTCGACGAAGAGAAGCTTAGATTCGTAGTGACGGAGGAGAACATAGATGGTTCGTGCGTCAAGGCGAGTGTTGATGTTGTTAAGGATTGCTCCGGTCATCGGAAGGGCGAACTGGAGCTCGTACATCGCCGGAGTAGTAGCAGAGAGGACGGAGACAACGGCGGATCTTTTGATTCCGATCGAAAACAGAGACGACGCGACACAGAGGCAACGGAGATTCGTTTTCCGCCATGTGTAGACGGTGGAATCGCCTTAAACGACGGCGGTACAGTCACCGTACACGGTGGCTGCTCTCTCTAGAAACCCTAACGGAGTCATCGGCGAAAAATTTGCTTCACTTGGCTTCATCTCCTCCATTTTTCTTGCTCGAGTGAGTAAAAGACTACATAGAAAGGAAGAATATAAAGACGAAGATTTTTTTTTGTTTTTAATTTTTATAGGAAATTAGGGGAAATAACACTGGAAAAAATTATAATCAGGTGACTAACTATAAAAAGCTATGGCTAGAATATTCTCTATGTTTTTATTCATTATAAATAAAAACGAACAGCGTTTGCATCACAAAGTGAAATTGATTTGAGTAATTTTTGGGAAATTATCTATGAGTAATGCATTTACCATCAGTGATCTCTTGTTCAAAGTACCACATGGCCATCTTCTCAACCCACGATCCCATAACAAGCTTCAAATTTTTTTTTATTTAGAATCATATCTTCGTCCAAATCCGATCACTTTCTCAATTCTATGAACCATTGTCACTGGTTTGTAATTCAAAGTCTACATTCGCTTTCGATTATGCTAATCCGGTGACGCGTCTTTCATTATCAAGTATATTGAGTGTTCCTCGCACTTGCATCCAAAGTCGTGGTGACGGCGATGGCAAAAGTTTCGATTACAGCAGCGGTAGAGATTGCGGTCGTAGTCATGGCAGAGCATGAGGAAATCGTAGTCATCCGACGTAACGACGGTGGTTTTAGAAATCACGGCGGTGGATGTTTATGAAAGTTGAATATAGAAAAGGGCAAAAATGTAAAACTATTAGGGTTTTTAGTTACCTGTTACATTAATCTCTTTTGATAGCTATTTTTTTTAGTCTGAGATCCAATATGTATAGTAGCCGGATTGACCATTTTTTATTTACAAAAGAAAGAAGCTAAAAGACGAAGAATTACTTTCCAATTTTTTACTACCTTTTCACACATTTTACACGTAAATAATGTATAAAGTATAGAGAATCATTTATACACTCGACGACC